GGGAAGTAATGGTTAGAGAGATTCTATGAAGCCTCTAGAACATACTAGAATAATCTTGTAAGCTTTTGCATGGAAGACCCAATAACTTCCCAAAACTTTCTATAAGAATCTTTCAAATAAAGTCAAAATTATGGGAGGTTGAATATTGATAGGTATGTCCCCTCTTCTTGATAGGACTAAAAAATATTACAATCTTTTCCAAAAAAGTTCTTCAAGCTCTTAGATTCAATTTTTATTTGTGCACACTATGAATACATCATACCAAAAGCCCAAAAAAGATCCCTTATGCTTTCATTCATTATGGAGATTAAACATTGATCTCTCGAATAAATTTTAAATGTTACTGATGCATATTTGATGATAAGAAATTTATCTTAAAAAATCTACAATTGAAACAACTAAAATTTTTGTCAATGATTTTGATGTGCCATGAATCAAGATTTATATGATTGATCGAACTAGACCCAATAAATGTGTGTGTATGTGTGTGTGTGCGAGAGAGAGAGAGAGAGAGAGAGAGAGAGAGAGAGAGAGAGAGAGATGGATTCAATAGTGCTAATAATTGAATTATCATACAAATAAAAAATAATATACACTGCACAAGCGTAAGGCCGACAAGAGAGAGAGAGAGAGAGAGAGAGAGAGATGGATTCTATAGTGCTAATAATTGAACTATCATACAAATAAAAATAATAAAATACTACACAAGCGTAAGGCCGTCAATTGACTTAATGATCAAAATAGTTACAAAAGGTTTAACAAAGCTCCAACAACTCTACTTGCTTAAAAAGCAAGCATCATCAAGCCACCAAAAAAATAATTAAAGAAGATTATATGAACAAATTCTAAACATAATTATTGCTTAATGACAACATTCACTTGTTTAGTATATTGTTAAATTTGTATTCATGTTTGTCTTCTTAACTCATTCATTAATAAAGGCTCCACAACTTTATAATAACTTATTGATTGATTATCATAGGAATTTTTTATGCGCAAGTTTAATAAAAATACCAAGTACTAACTTGCCCTTAAGTGCATGTGGCCTACACTACTAAATTTAGCCGTGAATGATTGCAAAAAATCCCATAATGTCTTTTGCACATGCATGCCATACTATTTAAGTATTTATATATTATTCTTCACATAAAACTTCCAATTCAGGAATTTATTTTTTAAATTGATGTGAAAGAGTCTTACATATGATTTAGTGTACATGTCTCTATATCTTTTTACACAATGGCTCCTATCATTTTTCTAAAATTACATTTGTTCCTCATGTTTTTAACAATTACATTATATGTTAGCTAAGAGTTAAAAAAAAGGAGGGATAAGTATAATTTTAGAAAATAATGAGGTCTTATGTGCAATGTTAACTACTATTTGTTCCAAACTAATTTTTTTAATTCTCATAGTGTTCGTTTGAAATAATTGTAAGTTTTTATAAATGTGATCGTAAATTTGTTGTAGATAAAATAACTTTTTTTAAAGCTATTGTAGAAAGCAATTTCTCAGTACAAAAATTTATACTACATAAAAATTATGATTATATTCTGAAAAATAAACTTATAAGAAAGTTATTCAAATGAATTAAATGCCCATTTGATTACTTGAAATTAGAAAATTATTTTAAAAAGTGATATATTTATTATTCGGTCATAGTTAAGCAACAATATTGACTTGAAAATTTTAAAATTGTCTCAAATATAACCCTAAAAAATAATTATTTAATTTCCGCGCTCAAAATAAATAAACATAAATTATAACTGTCTCAAATTTAAATAGAATTTACTGCAAGAAACGAAATAAAGTATTCAAGATATTACATATTTACATTTAGATTTAAAAATTGTGTAAATGTGGAATGTAGCGAATTTCAATTGGCCGAAATTGTAATCCGACAAAATGCATATGCTTTATGAAATTTTGAAAAGACTTAATTTCGAAAAAATAAAATAAAATTTAAATTGGCATCTCTCTGCTTATGCTTTTGCACATATTATTAAGGTTTTCATATGATGGGAAAGGGCAATAATTGTGAAGACACCGACTCATTATTTAGTTCTTTTAATGCTAAGGAGCTATCATCATATTTTTTTAAAGGAAAAAAATGGTTAAAAATATCCTGATTTAATTATCATTAATTTTATTTTGAAAGAAATATAATATAATAGTTAATTAATTAATAATAGGTTACATTTATCTTAAAATAATTTAACCATTTGAATTTTTTTTTTTTTAAGTTTTTGATATTCGCTAATTTTAATTTTTCATAACTTGTTATTATACTGATTAATTAAAATGTTGATGATAGAGCTTTTAGTATTTTTGATTGGACTAACAACACAAGCAATTAAATATGAATATATAATAAAATTAAATGAGTATGATATAAAAATTAATTGATTTTATTCTAGATAAAATATTTTTTAAACAAAAATTAACATAATCAAATTTTTACTATTTATCATAACTTAATTTTTTTTCTTGAACCAAATAATGGGATAAAATTGAATTGAGTTTTCCTTAATAACACCCTAATTTTTTTAATATTATTCTACACATCTTTCATGCCTACCTTTACTAATAGTTGATCTTAAGGCTCTTCAACATTTATCCACCTTGTTTAGCTCAAGAAGCTATGTCCTTATCTTGATTTTTGTATGTGAAAGATTCATGAAGCTTGAAGATATCACATTAGGCATCAATTTCTTTCCCAACCATATTGACTAATCTATATAAGAGTTGGATATTTTTATACCTAGCTAGCCCTCTTTGTAGCCTAAGGACCCAAATCTTCAAGCAACTTCAATTCACTATGGTACTCTAATGTGGATTGGTGGATATCTATGAATTATTCAATTTTAATTTAAATTTGTGGTTAACTAATATGAATAAACATGAATTTAAATGAATTTGAATTTTATATTTATGATACTTTAATTTAGAATCTAAATTCAGTGTGAGCTGGATATTCGTGCAACGCTAAGACGTAGAATTATAACTCTATCGCCGCGTATATTCTAGCCCGCAACAAGACCGTTATTAGAAAATAATTAAACAATAAAATATCAGATTTATGTTATCTCCTTGACTCCTACACTTCCCTCTATCTATTCTCCTCTCTTCGAAGAAGCTGAAGAAAGCTTCTTTCCACCCCAAGAATATTTACATTTGGTATCAAAGTCAAATTGGGGCAATCTCGAGGTGGAGGAAGGTCCAAAGAAAGTAAGAGGGAGGCTAGCTTAGCCGGTTGGACGGAGGTCTATTCGGTTGCAATATGGAAAAGAATTGTTCTTATAGAGAAAGAAGGGACATTCAGGGCGGCGAGCTGGCAGCAGGATGCGTGGGAAGACGCGAAGAGGCAAGCTGAGAGGCACGGGAGCAAGGCAGTGGGATTCATGTGCACATAGGAGGGCCAGGCGTGGTCGGCGGGAGTGGTGACGCACATTCCTGCTGAGCAAGCAGTGCATTCGTTCAAACAGAGGCGCGCAGACGGAGGTTTAGGTAGGATTTCGGACACCGCAAGTGGAGCGCGTATTGTACACCTGTGAGAGGTGAATCAGAGGCCAAAGATTTAAGATATTGTTCTTGAATAAAGATCATTCTAGATCTTTGAGGTGGAGCTTCCGGATTGAAAAAAATTTGAGTCGAAGAGAATCATTTCAATACAAAAATTCGAGATCGACAGATTCACCGGAGAAAATGATTTCAACCTATGACTGGTCAAGATAAAGGCAATGTCAGTCCATCAATGGTTGCAATATCTAGAGATGGATTTGTGGCATTGACTTATTGGGTGAAGGCAAGGGAAATGAAATTGAAGGCTCACATCACAATCTTGCTTTTCCTTGGTGATGAAGTGTTACGAGAGGTTGGCTATGAAGAAACAACCATCGAGGTATGGGAGAAATTATAATCACTGTTCTTGAAAAAAAATCTCTTGCAAATCATCTAATATTAAAAAAGCAATTGTATACCATTCAAATGGAAGAATCAAAGGATCTTCGAAAGCATATGGATGACTTCAACAAGATAACTCTTGATTTGAAGAATGCCGACGTGCGGATTGATGAAGAATATAAGGGCATCATCTTGCTTAACTCGTTGCCAAAAACTTATGAACACATCGTTGATACAATTTTGTACGGGAAGCAGACTTTGACGATGACAAAGATGAAGTCTGTATTGATGTCAAAGGACATTCAACAAAAATTAGAGATTAAGGAAGAAAAGAATGGCCACATGTTGCTGATTAGGGGCAGATCTGAAATTAGAAAAGAAAAAATGAGCAAGAAGTGCTATATTTGCCACAAAGATGGACATTTTAAAAGAAATTGTCTGAATAAAGAGAAATGGAAAAGAGCTGAACTCAAAGATGACACTAACTTGACAGTGGCAGCAGAATCATGAAATGAATGGTTTGATTCAGAGGTTCTTTATGGGTCCTTTGGTAGAAGTTGGATCAAGGTCGAGATTGTTAGGTTTTTTTATCCAACTTAAGTCTATTTTTAGGTGTTTATTTCTTTAGTTTTCTTGAATGGCTTGTATTGCCATTAACGTTGCCTTTTGTGTCTTTAAATAGGCTCTATAAGCTATTATTAGAAAATAGTTGAGCAATAAAATTTCAGATTTTTGTTGTCTTCTTCTCCCCTTCCCTCTCTCTATCCTCTCTTCCAAGAAGCTGAAGAAAGCTTCTTTCCACCCCAAGAATATTTACATCATCTTTTCTCATTCAAAAAATTTACGGAAAGGAACAACGAAAACAGAAATTTTTCTTACAAACAAAAGCCGATGATTCTAGACTGCAAGAGTGCAAGATTGCCTAGTTTTTTTCCACTCAAACTTTTATTAAGCTGAGGGTGGCAAGTCTACAACCTATTCTCTTTCTCTTAAAACCAAAAATCTTGTATATGCAACTTCAAATTAATCCAGCAATATAAAATACAGAATAAAATGTACTGGTTCAGCAGATATACAGTCAGTAGGAGGGGAAATTATCAATACAAACATGCAAAACCAACATTGATGCTTCAATTACATCATCAGGACAGCACACATCTTCCCCCATCTCCCTAAGAACAACAAAAGAAAGAAGAGATGAACAGATCAGTCATCAATGGCAAGGCCTCAACAAAGAAGCTAACTAAGAGGTTAACCTGAACAGATCAGTAATCAGGAAATTATACTCCTCCTACATTGATTTCAGGGACTCCTCTTCTGCCATGCTACTAGTCTGCAGAGCTTGTTCAGTATTTTTTTTTTCTTTCAGTATTACATCTTCTCCCATCACTCCATTATTATACAAGGCCTCAACAGCCTCTTCCTTTTCATCAATGCACCCACTCCCTTATCAGCTTCTTTCTTCAGCATCTCATCCTCCCTCTCCTCTCCTCTTTCAAGAGCCTCATTACCCTCTTCTTTCAACGTTGCATTCTCTTCCTCCTTTTCCAGCCCTTGATGTTCTTCATCAACTCCTCCTAGTTGCTGAGCATTCTGAGTCGCTTGAATCTCTTGATTATGCTGGCTGTCAACACCCAGTTGACTTTTTTTATTTTCAAAACTCTGCTCAACTTGTTGATCATGTTGAATTTGCTGCCCATGTTGAAGATGAAGTGTCTTCTGAATCTGTTGACCTTCCGGTTCCTGCAGTGAGATAACCGTTTCAAAAGCTCCAACCAAAGCCAGTACCTTGTTCTTCCTCGTCCCCATCAGCTTGCTTTTGGTCTCTTCGATCACATCATTGCTTATAGAAGCATCCTTCTTCTTCACCGTCGTCATTTCCATCACAACCGTAGCTCCGTGAATCGGTCTTCTTACTTCAGGCTCCACTCGTCTCACGACCGCATCCACATGTTCCACCTTTTCCTCATCCTTTTTCTCCACCTGCGTGGAAGCCACAGCCACCCTAGCCTTGTTAGGAACTTCCTCGACTTCATCAAATACCCAATTCTCAGGCTCATCACTCTTCTGTTCTTCAATGTGATTCCCTTCATCAACCAAAGAACTAATGAAGTCACTTTCTTCTACATTCTCCACCTCATTTAAAGCCTCTACTAACTTCTTGTGGTTGTTCAACAATTGCTCTTGAACTGGTCTTTCAATGGCAGTTACAGAATCATGATCTGATGACATCTTTCCCTCAGGAATAACAGCAATTGTGACAGGGGCTTCTTTTTTCTTGACAAACTTAAGACTGGTGCTCTTTGCTTTAGGGATAAGGCTGGTCCTTGCAGTTCTTGAAACGGTTTGAGCAGATTCATGACCATTAGGCATGGAGGAGCTGCTCGGTTTTGCAGGCTTCAATGATCTCTGTGATGTAAAGGTTGAAGGAGATGGCGCCTTGTCTGCCAATCTTCTTGCTGAGGGTGTTTTTGTGGTGGCACTAGCGGTGATGCTGTGGATGATGGGAATTCTCCGAGTTGGAGATTCATAAGAAGGAACAGCCTTGGGCTTGAGATAGTTTACCACTGGCTTCTTCGCCTCCACTGGAGACGAGATATCTCCTCGGGGGAGCAAATTCTTCGGGCTCGGTCGGGCAAGGGATGGGGAGATCCTCCTATCTCTAAGAGAGGTGGTGGGCTTTGTTTCCATCGCCAGCTGATTCAACTTTTTTGCTTACCAAACGGAGAAACAAAATGGAAGAAAGGATTTAGCAATTCATTTCAACTAAGATTAGAAGCTTTGTGCAGCATCACATAACGCTTCGATTGAGGAAGGATGCGAAGATCTGAAGACATGCTGAGAAAACTGGGGAACAAAAGCTGAACCAAGTAAACAATCGTGAAGATGACTCTCCAATTCCCCATTGTAGTTGGCTTTCTTGAAGGGGAGGCAAATGTTTTAATTAATTTTATAATAAAATGGTTGTTGGATGGATCTTTCTAATATAAACTATTTGCAGAGCTAACCAAGTAGGATGGATGGAATTTCATTATCTAGACTGTGGGCACAGGATTTGAAATTGAAAAAACAAAAAAGGCCTAATGCCGACATGCTTTTCTTCAACCATGCCATTCTCAACTAAAGTGGTAGAATAAAAACGCATCGTGGTACAATACAAACGCATCAAAACAACAAGAAGAAGCTTTCTGTCTGAACTAATAATATCTTCGCAAGAATAACACATTAACAAGAAAAAAATTGGGGCTTTCAGTATGGATACAACGGGCAGTGACATAATTGCAAGTAAAATATGAAAAAGGAAGCAACTTGAAGCGTAAAATAGAGTATATTAGAAGAAAATCCAAAGAACTGTAGAGGAAATTGAACTAACGAATAAGAAGTACTACCTTTGATTTCTTCTGTTGTTTATCCCTTTTGTTGGTGGAGATCAAATTGTGAAAAGAGCAGAGAGGGCAGAAAGGGATAAGTGATTTGCGTAAAATTAGAAGCAGGCGTAGGAGAGAGAGTGAGTGAAACAGAGAGAGGGGAGGGCCGGAGGGGTTGGAAAAGGAAGGGAAACGAGGGGAGAACGGGGACTGTTTTCTGAGGCAAAACAGCAAACACCTTCCTTATCCGCCTGAAGCGGGCAATGACACGTTCTCACCCCGAAACATCTATCCATTTCGAAAACTCTTATAGGACGGTCGAAAATGGTAAACTGAAGAACCAACAACTCCACGTGGCAGCTCTCGTTGTGCTGATTGTTAGATATTTTGAATATAGATTTTGAATTTGAGTCATACAATATGTGTGAGTCTGAATATTAATGTCCCTTAATTTTCCCAAAAACCAAAATAATCGCACTTGAAGCCCATGTTATGCTTATTATTTTTGCCATAGTGCCTAACACGCCGGTAATGATTCGATGAACCACACTTACATATCAATGGATGATAGCTTCAGCATGGGATGCAAAAGTTAACATCAATGAATGATGAAAATTCTTTGAAAATCTTAGTGAGTAGATTAAAGTCTATACCGCCATAAAATTTTTCTTGGACAAAATATTGGAGCTCTTTATGAAGAATATTATTTAGCGATACCATCAGCATAAAATAATGATAGATTTTCGACCATTAAAGAATGGGCTAAGTAAGTAGTATCAAAGAAGTTGTTAATGGATGTGTAGGAATTGATGAAAGACTATAGTGCAAGCATTTTGCAGTTGATAATTCTTGATATAATTTATCAATAGTTTGACATAATGGTCATGATTGGTGGTACTTTGTATAAAGTGAAATATTTTGTAATGGACCCTCTCTGTACATCATGTCTGACTTTCAAGTATGGATCAAAAGAATTTAGTTGCCATGATTCTTGATATTAAGAGGGGAAGAGCAAAAGCTTGTGATATCCATGGTTTAAAAACATGTTCTTTGAGAGGTGAGAATTAGAATGAGGCACCCAATTTTTATATGCCTCTAATGAGAGAAATGGAGTTTATTATAGAATCAATTTAAAGAGCAATAATAATTTATAAGGCTCCTTATAAGATGGCCATAAAAGAACTTCAAGAGTTGTATGTACAATTCTAAAAACTCTTTTGATAATGAGTTTATTAGAACTAGCATGTCAACTTAGGGAACATCAATCATGACAGCAAAGAATACTAATAGATCAACGAGATAATATGTTGATTAAGAAGTTGAATAATATCACAATTAAGAATAAATATTATTAACTCATGATATATAATTTATTTAGTCAATTAGAGAAAGCCATTATATTTTTTATAACCTATTTGAGCTATTGGTATTAATTGAGGTATGAATATAATTTCATGATTGTTTTGAATGTTGTATGTGGATACTATGAACTTTCGGTGATGACATTTGATCTTATTAATACACCAGTTATATTTATGAATTTGATGAGTATAAGATATTCAAATAGAATCAAGAGTAGTTTATTATTTTGGTATAGATGATATATTGATATATTATAGGAGAGAAAAAAGTGTTTGCTCGGCTATCAAGTTCAACACTTAAATTTGAAGAGAAGTTTTTACACTTAAAGTGGTGTTCAACACCTGATCATTTACTATCAACTTTAGATTAAAAATATTTCAGATTTTTAGTGATATGTCATATAATAATTTGATTTTATCCTAATGCAAAAAATCATGAGAAGAATTATCAAGTGCATGATTTAAAGCTAGCAAAAGATATGTTAGCTTTGAAGATTGAGCCATTATCTATATGGAGTTAAATGCATAGTATAAATAACACATTTCACCATATTTTTGCATCCATGATCAAATATTGAAGCAGTAGTGTAGTGATCATTTTAAATCGATTGGAAAAGGAATTTTTAGAGATAAATTCATTTCATTTGAATTTTTGAGAGTCGGGAGGGAGGTTGCCTTCTATATGAACATATGAGAAGACAAAATGAAGCTTGGAAAAGAGGCAACACAATGCTTTTGGTGAGTACTTCTATGGAGGTTATATCAAAGATCAAATTGATTTGTTGGGCATAATATATTTACCCGAAACTATGAAAAATTTTCTTCTCTTTTAAATGTTTGTTGCATGTGATGTTTTATAAATGGCATGTCGTGTTAATAGTTGTGTATGGGCGTGAAATTAATTGTCTTTTTGTTAACTTGCAAGAATTTTTTTTATCTAGGTTGATGAAATTATTGAGTTTTTATATTAGTGTATGTTGTACAATGATAACCTTTAAATCTTTATAAATATTTTGATGTAATTGTTTATCTAAAATTGTTTATTTATAATTTGATTTATGATGTATTCCTCCAAATAAATCATTTTTAAGCATATTGTGATGTTGGGGTATTTATTGTGCATCAAATTTCATGAGTGTTATATATGAAAATTTTGTGTTACATGCCATAAAACTTAATTTCCATAAGCTTTTGATATAATCAAATCATATCTTTCGGGGTGCAAATTATTTATATTGCTATGTTACTGTGTATGCCAATTATAGCTATGGATTGATCTTTAAGTTGGACATACGATTATGATTTTCCTATATGAAAGAAAGCATGAGTGAATGAGCTCTATTGACCAAATGCATCAGAGTTATGGGACCAAGTACATGAATTTTGGCAGCTTTTGCAAGCTAGAAGCATGATTGATATGACTTGTATGACTAATGTAATTGATTGGATATTGATTGTAAAAAAAGTTCGCTAACATACATCCATATAATGATTCATGTTTACTTGTACTGTCACAACTGATTGTTGGCAGCTTATAATATTACCATATGCCTTTTCTTTGGCGTCATTTGGGACGGCTTTCTATTTGCTTATTAAAGTAATTTTTCACTACAAAAATTTTAATTTTTTATTAAAAAGCTGCTTTAAGAAGCAATTAAAAATTATCCCAAACAAAGCTTTAATCTAGTACTACATAGAATGAATAATAAATCATATGAGTTTATATGAATATTTATGTTCTTGTATTATGTTTTTACTATCATACAATAATTAATTCATGAGCTATTATGATCAGTTTAACTAATGATTCAAACTTTTAACAAATTCAAACTTGATTATACTTAGATATGGATAATCAATAAGACATGATAAGAATCTTATTAATAAAAACATGAAATGACATTGACATTAATTGTGTATGTTTATGACACTTAACACATTAATGATCTTTCTTTGTTTTGCCTATGTTTTGAGATGAGGATGAGATTGATATTGTGATATGTCAAGCATATTATTTCACTCTTTTGTAATTAAATTTATATTCTTGATATGTCATCAAAAATTATCTTGATCGACACGAATCTCGAGGCAAATACCAAATAGGAAACTTCAAAAATTAAATTTGGGATCATCTGAACTCCGATTTAAGAAAACTTACAGTCGAACAAATCTTCTCAGAAATACGAACCCAACGACACCAAATTCAACTCAATCCGAGCCCAAATGGGTCTGAATCGAAGACCTAAAGTGCTGTTGGAAGGTTCAGACCACAATTTGAATTACCAAACAGTTTCAAAACATTACATGCTTATAGTCAAATCGAGCGGCTCGACGAGACGAATCCAACAAGGCCAAGATTGTCGAATTCTGATATCATTAAGACCTTCAAATTTCTGACGAACGGTCCACAATTAAGGGATTCAATATCGGCCGTCCATCCAAACCACTTCACATTTGCCCTTGATCCTCTTTCTATTTATGGGTCATGTCATCTTCAAAAAACTATAAATAGCCCCTCATTTCTCTTAAGAGGGGACCCAAGCAAGAAGAAGAATAATAATAGAAGAGAAGAGAAGGAAGGAAGAAGCTCCTCCTCGACCCCCGCCGGAGTTCCGCCAAACTTTCAAGTAACGCCGAAATTCCGCCCGACTTTCAAGTGACGCCTGAGTTCTGTCCGATCTCCAAGTGACTATGTAATTTTGCATGAATACCATTTAACGCCAAAGTTCTCCCCCGCCGTTGACTGACGTCGGACTTCTACCTAACGCCGGAGCTTCGCTCGTCGCCAAATTTCTACCCGACATCGGACTTCTGCCCGTTGTCAGATTTTTGTTGGACATCTATCTGATGTTGGATTTTTGTTCATTGATGGACTTCTACTTGATGTCGTCCGCCGACTACGACCTTTTCGACCTATGTTGCCCACCGACTACGGTCCTTTTGACTTACGTCGTCCACCAACTATAGTCCTTTTGACCTCGGTTGCCCTTCGACTACGGTCCTTCTGACTTACGTCGCCCATCGACTACAGTCCTTCTGACCTTCGTCGCCCGCCGACTATTGTCCTTCCGACTTACATCGCCCACCGACTACAATCCTTTCGACCAAATAAATACATAAACAATGAATCTTTGTATTCCCACCTTGTAATTTATATAATGTACATCAAGCCAAAGCCTTCCCTCTAAGGAAGGGCCTTATTTGTAATCGACTGCAAATAATAGTGGATTCATTCAAACTGGGCTAGGCCCCGAGGGTTTTCCACGTAAAAATCTTAGTGTCTCATAAATGTTAAACACTCTCTCTTATATGATTGTGTGCCGGATTTTCATACAACGCTAAGACACGAAACTTTATTTTTCTCTACCGCCGTGAATACTCCATGACACAACAATTCTAGTATTGGTTTTCTTTCTTTTTTTTCATTTATCTTACCTATACGTACCCATGTGTGATATTTTTAGGGAAGAATTAATGTATAACAAAGGAGTGGATTTTGGAGAACTAATCTAATAAGCTATATTAGTGATTGGATATTATAATTTGTAATATTGTTGCAAATATGGATGCATGAGATTCATAATTAAGGTTTTGTATGTTTTGTAGGTAGGTTTTGAATGTTTTTAGCATAAGTTCTTTGTAGATTTCAGTGACTCATTTTTGTATGAAATAAAATTTTGATCGTAATATAATTGTTTGATAATGTTAATGCAGTATTTATGCTCTATATCTAATACAAAACATACATAGCATACATCTCATCAATACATGCATAAGTAAGATCTAATACAACTACTCTCTTAAATAGGTCATCAGAAGGATGACGCTGCAAGTGATCAAACTATCTAAGGCAACTCTCTCTAATCTTATCTTGCCACTGGAGCTACTCCAACCTAACAATAACTCTATCATATTTAAATAATATAAAA